TAACTAATGAAGGGGGACACACACGTGTGTGTGCATGCAGGCACACATGTAAACACGTATGTGCGTATGTGTATACACAAGTAGCTAGGTAGCACAGTGGCTAGAGTGCCATGCCTCAAGTCTGGAAAACTCATCTTCCTGAAATCAAATCTGGCCTCAGATTCTTACTAGCTGTGTGACCCTGGGCAAGTCATTTTAACCCTGTTGGCCTCCGTTTCCTCATCTGTAAAATGAGCTGCAGAAGGAAATGACAGTATCTTTGTCAAGAAAACCCCAAATGGGATCAAGAAGAGTTCAGCCACAACTGCAAATGATTGAGCTACAACGATGTATACACACATACGACCCAGGCACATTGGCTGGTTGTGGTCCTTCGCTCTCCAAGAAAGCCAAAATGACATCACCGCAGCAGAGTCAAGTTTCAGTTTGTCCGACTGTGGACGATCAGACCAGTACGAGCTTGGAACATTCTACCACAGGTCGGGCACACATAGTCCTTGAGAACATTTGGAGCGGATCACACACGCACATATATGATATAGATATTATGTATGTATATGCATGTGCCATTATAGAATTATATATAGTTATGAAGTTATATAATTATATGTGCACATGTAAAATTAAATCAGAGTACAGGGGGCTGAGACACGAGAGCAGAAAATAAGTATATGATGCGTATGTGTCTATTAACGTCCATTTATATACATCCAGATATATACACACATGTGCATGTATACATACGTGCAAATGTGCAAATATAATACATAAAACTGTGTAGTGTCTTCATCATTAATTATCCCTATGGTGGGGGGGGGGAGACAGAGAGAGGCAGAGGCAGAGACAGAGACAGAGAGTCAGAGAGACAGGGAGAGACAAAGAGAGATATCTAGGCCAATTTTCCAGGTTAGGTACTTAACACAGGGTAAGCACTTAAGAAATGTTTCTCTCATTCATTCATTCATTCATTCATTCATTCCCAGGCTTTATACTTTGAAGCCACAATATCAGTATCAACAGCAATGACAAGGATGGCATTGTTGGTAGCCCAAGGGATTAATGGCCTGGAGAGGGGCTTATTATAAACACACATACACATATATGTGTGTGTATCCTTGTATACTTTTGCTTTAAAAGACATTTCTGAGGGGATGAGGGAAAATAGACATTGTTGGTGGAGTTGTGAAGTGGTCCAATCATTCTGGAGAGCAATTTGGAAATTTTATATGCCCAAAGGGCTACAAAATTGTGCCTACCCTTTGACCCAGAACTATCGCCACTGTGTCTACACCCCAAAGAGATCAAAGAAAAGGAAAAGGACCCACATGTACAAAAATACTTACAGCATCTCTTTTTGTGCTGGCAAAGAATTGGAAATTTAGGGGATGTCCATTAGTCGGGGAATGGCTGAACAAGCTATGGTATGTGAATGTGATAGAGCACTATTGTGCTATAAGAAATGACAAGTTGGGCGGTTTCAGAAAAACCTGACAAGATCTATATGAACTGATGCAAAGTGAAGTGCAAATGGGAGATTTTTGTGCCTAGTAACAGCAATGCTGTAATGATGATCAACTGTGAAAGACTTGGCTACTCTGATCAATGCAATGATCCAATCTGCTTCCAAAGAGAGAACTGGTGAACTCTGAGGGCAGATCGAAGCCAAATTTTCTCACTTGATTTTTCTTGCTTTTTTGTGATACAGCTAATATGGAAATATGTTTTGCATGATTTCACATGTGTAATTGATATCATATTGTTTACCTTCTCAGTGGGTGGAGGAGGAGTGGGAGTGATGGAGAGAATTTGGAACTCAAACTTTAAAAAGAAAAGAATGTTTTATACATACATACATATATATATGTATAAAACATTCTTTTCTTTTTAAGAATATATATGTATTTTATATATATATACATTTAAAGATGCTATTTCTGCCTCAGGCCACTTTAGAGTGTATGGTACTACCCACTAATGGAGTTGGCATGAGTTCCTTTCTTAGCCCAGTTACCAGGACAGATCCAGTCTCTTTCTCCTGCTTATGTCGACCTATCTGGGGACTTGCCAAGGTCCCATAATATGTCCTTCTCTTGAATCATCAACCTTTTCTTATCTTCTGGTTCCTTCTATGCTGTCTTCCAAAATATGCTAGTATCCCTTATCAAAATAGATAGGCAGATAGAGAGATAGACAGAGAGAGAAACAGACAGACAGACAAATAGATAGATAGACAGACAGACAGACAGATAGATAGATAGATAGATAGATAGATAGATAGATAGATAGATAGA